CGGCGCCTTGTGGGGGTTGTAGTCTTCCCGCCGAGGGCGCCGGGGCGTGTCGTCGGTTGCTAGGTGACGACGCCCCAACCACAGCTCCGCGTCCTCCTCTTGTCCGGATTTTCGCCGAGACGCTGGGCGACTGAGAGGGAAGGGGCGGACGCACTACGGCTGCCGGGACCGCTCGCTCCCTCCGGCCGAGGAAACTGCTACGGCGGCAGGTGGAGTCGCGGAGGAGGGTCCAGAGAGCCCGCGGAGCCGGCGGACAGGTGCGGGGTGCAGGCCCCGGGACGGGGTACGGGTGAGGGGCACAGAGGCGGGGGCGGGGCGCGGCGGGGCAGGTTGCCCGCACCTTCAGCCGCTTCTCACCGACTTTCCGTTCTCTGCAGGTCTGTTCTCCTCTCCCTTGCTTCTCATCTTCTTGCTTTCGCTAACCGCCTTTTGGGTCTTCTTCCCAGCTCCCTGATTAAAATGTTAACGGTGCTTTTTTTTAGTCGCCACAATAAACAGTGTTTAAAAAAAAAAAAAAAAAAAATCTTCCGCCTTCACTGCTTTCCCCAACAGTGCCCTAATTTGTTTCTGTAAAAAAAGAAAAGAAAGAAAGAAAGAAAGAAAAAATCACTTACTAGGCTGGGCGCGGTGGCTCACGCCTATAATCCTAGCACTTTGGGGAGGCCGAGGTGAGAGGATTGCCTGAGCCCACGGGTTCGAGACCCGCCGGGGCACCTTGGCGAGACCTCATCTCTACAATAAATCAACAAATTAGCTGGGCATGGTGGCGCGTGCCTGTAGTTCCAGCTACTTGGAAGGCTGAGGTGGAGGGATCATCTGAGCCCAGCAGGTCGAGACTGCGGTGGCCATGAACAGCATGCCACAGCACTCCAACCTGGGAGAGTGAGAGTTCAACTCAAAAAAAAAAAAAAAACTTACCCAAATCTGGGTATCTGTTATGTGCCAAGCAGAGGGTTTAAACACAAGTATGTGGTCTCACTTAAAATTCCCACTTTTTCTTCCCAGTTGAAGAAAAAAGCTCAAGAAGGCTGACTTGCCCTGGCTGTGGGGTTGTACTGAGATCAGGGCATCTGCCGGACCCCAGCAGCCATACACTTTCCTCGCACCCACTAGCACCACTTCTCTGGCGTGTTCTAAAATGTGCAAATAGAAGACACGAGAGAGAAGAGCAATGCCTCCCTTGACACAGAATTCAGAAGTGCTCCTCCATTTTACCACTGGCCCAGGGTCCCAGGGCCTCAGATGGTTCCGTGGACTCCCTGTGAGTCTAGGCACAGTGGCACCTGAGATGTCCCTCATGTGGCAGTAGTAGTTCCTGTTCATTTTTGAGTGTCTGAATGACTTTCCCTGCTTCCCTCTAGCTAGCATGTAGTGGAGCCCATAAAGAGCTAAACCTCTCCAGAGTTGCCTCTTAGCTCCAACTCCTTTCTGCTTGTTCTTTCTTGAACCTACTCTCATCAGATGTTCACCCGACGACTCCCCTGAAGCTCTTTATCAAGTCAACTTTGGCCTTGATGTTGCTAAATCCAACAATCAGGGCTCAGCTGTCGTCTCTTCCTTTCACTGTCAGCAGCAGTTCAAGGAAGACTCCGTTGACTGCATCCCCTCCATGACTCACTGTCCTCACTTGACTGGACCAGGTCACACTCTCCATTTCTCCTCCCTCCTCCCCCCAGCCACTTTTCAGTCTCCTTCCCCGGGCCTAACTGGAGGCTCAGGACTCAGTCCTTGGAAGCTACTCTACCCACTCACTCCCTGGGTGATTTCCTGCAGAGTCACCTAGTTCTGCTAAGCAACCATGTTCTCCCTGACCTTTCCAAAGCTTGCAGGGGAAGGTGCATTCCTGTTGGGACCACACAGATCACCCTGATCTGTATCCAACTGCAGCCAGGGCATGTTGGCCTCTTTGTGACTGAACCCTGCCTGAAACTCCAGACCTGTTTACTTGTTCTTCACCATGTGGATGTCTAACAGATCCCCTCAAATGTAATGGGTTCAAAACTGCACTCTTTATCTTCCCCCATAAAACCTGCGCCTCCCAAAACCACTGTTTCCTCAGTGTAATAACTTGGGGTAGACACGTGATGGGGTTGTCCAGTGAGTGAATGGTTGTTCTCTGTAGGTCTGTCCTTGGCCAACTCCAAGGCCTGGAGGAGCTTCTCAGAGCTTACTGCTCTGAGGCTCCCTTCCCATGCTTCATAGTTTGAAATTGTGCTCAGGATGAAGGCTGACCATGGGGAAATGGAAGTATCAGTTAAGATCAGGTTCAGCTGAATATAATGAAAAATTCTAAGATCATAGCGGTGCAAACAAGATTACTCATATTTCCATAAAAGAAGTTCATGGGGAGGAAATCCTGGTTGGTCTGGAAGCCCCAAAAACCTCAGGTATCGGCATTTCTAGCTGCCATCCTTAATAATTTTCCTCAGGTCCAGAATGGCTGCCCATTTTCCTGCCATCACCTGAGCCCAGGCACCAGATGAAAGAGAGAAGAAGAGTATGCCCCTTCCTTTCAGGGAGATATTCCCTTTCACTTCTTGAAGGTGGAAGGACTTAGCCACATGACCATACCTGGCTTCCAGGGAAGCTGAGAAATGTTATCTTTCAGTTGGACGGCAATAGACCCAACTAAAAATCGGTTTTATTCTCAAGAGGAAAGAGAGGAGAGTGGAGATTGGAAAACAACTAACACAATCTTCCACATGGACAGTGTTATTTGTTTTTTTTTTTTTTTTTTTTTTTTG